TTTCTTGATCCTCTGGCGCCACTGGGATTTGGAAAAAACCTGAAAAACCATCAAGACAACAATAATGAGTTTTCTCAGCTAATCTTTCAATCATTTGATATATAAAAGGAATAGGATAGGAAAATGATCTTTTCGAGTAAGAGAGTTCAACTTCCTGTAATCAATACAAACTCGCCATCCATTTTGAACTCTTGTTGGAACTAACTCCCCTTCTTGATTTTCGACCACTGTGACTCTCGTTTTCTTGGGAACCACATGAATCGGACTTGCCCAATTACTATCCGAAATTGAATAGATTACGTCAGTGTCAACGAGTTTCTGAATTTCTTTCTTTACTACTTCCATCATCAGTGGATTTAATCGACGTTGTCCTTCACGTGATGGCTTTGCTCCTTCTTCGACTTTGATCTTATGCATGCAAGTCGAGGGACTTAATCCTTTAATGTCGGCAATGGTCCATCCTATGGCTTCTTTGTGAGAGTGCAATATCGCTACCAAAGCTTCCTCTTCTCATTTGGATAATTTACTTGAGATGATCACTGGTAAAGTTTCATTTTCGCCCAAAAAGACATATTTCAAATGCTCCGGTAATTGCTTCAATTCTACCTCTGGTGCCTGCAAAACAGAAGGTAAAATTTTAGTTTTAGAGGAATATAAAGATAAATCAGAATTAATTGAATTAATATTTTCAAACTCTCTTTCTTAATCTTCGTGGCAAAGTTCAGGATCCTTAAAAAGATCATAAGAAAAATTAGATTCAATATATTCATCAATTAAAGGATCTATAATATCAACAAAATTAATTCTTTCAACATGATCAAGGCATTTCATTGCTTTGTAAACATCAAATTCAACGATCTCACCATCAAATTCCATTATTAGTATACCACTTCTAACATCGATCTTTGTATGTACTGTGCTTAGGAAGGGTCGGCCTAAGAGTACCTCGGAATAAGAATCCGACCTAACATGTTCCATGTCAATGACATAGAAATCTGCAGGAAAGAATAATACATCAACCTTTACCAAGATGTTTTCCATTACTCCCACTGGATAGATCACAGATCGATCAGCCAACTGTATGGTTATTCCTATTTCCTTCAAAGGCTCGTTAGTAATCATTTTATATATAGAAAATGACATAACATTAATTGAAGCTCCTAAGTCACACATTGCACGTTTAATTTTAAAATTACCTATTTTGCAAGGTATAACGAACATACCTTGATCCTTCATCTTTAGTGGGAGTTTTCGTTGAAAAATTGCAGAAACATGTTCTCCAAAATTTACCTTTTCATGTCCCATTAATTACCTCTTTGTAATGCAAAGTTCTTTTAAAAATCGAGCATACTTTGGTACTTGTCGAATTACTTCAAGAAGAGGTATGTTGACTTGAAATTTTTGGAAAACCTCTAAGATCTCTCTTTCTTCAGCTCTTTTATCACGCTTCATCAACCTTTATGGGAAGATTGGTGGCGTGATTTCATGAGAAGAAAGAGAAAGATGTGATTCAGACGTATCTTGTATTTCTGGAGGTGGTGTTTCCTCTTGTTCTTCCTGATGTGCGTCTTTTTCTGCTGGAACTTCGGGTGAGATAACTTTTCCACTTCTGAGTGTGATGGCACTAACATTTTCTCTCGGATTTAACTCCGTTTGAGAATGTAGTTTTCCTTGTGATTCCAATTTTCCCATAGTTTGAGCTAGTCGGCTTACTTGATTATCTAACTCCTGAAGATGTGTTTCGGTTTGGTTTTAGAATTTTTCTTGGGATGCAATGAACTTTTCTTGTGAAATTGCTAACTTTCCTATGAGTTCCTTCAATGATGAGTTTTGCATTTGTTGTTGAGGATGAGGCCTTTGTTGATAAGTTGGTCTCTGATTTGCTGCATAGCTGAAGTTTGGGTGGTCTCGCCATCCTGGATTGTAAGTATTGTTGTATGGGTTGTATTGTCTTTGTGGAGGACCTAGAAAGTTCCCTACTGTATTGATTTCTGTATTGCCTCTTTCTTGTATCAGCGGGCAACAATCCGTCGGATGGTCTAGCTTTGTGCATATCCCACATGCTCTTGTTGCTCCAGATTTTCTTGCAACAAGTGAATTAACTACTTCAGTTAATTTATCTAACTTATTTTCAAGGGAAAATGTACTTATCTCGTGAACCCGTCGGCTGGGTTCACTCGAAAACTATTGAGAGTTGGCTGCCATGGTTGAAATCAATTCCCTTGTTGTTGTTGGGGTCATGTTAACTAATGCTCCTCCACTGGCGGCATCCACCATTTTCATCTCCATTGGTAAAAGAGATTCATAAATGTATTGAAGTAACGTTTGCTCACTTAATTCGTGTTGGGGACAACGTGCGCAAAACTTTTTAAATCTCTCCCAATAGTCATAAAGACTTTCTTTGCTCTTTTACTGAATGGAAATAATTCTCCTTAGCAACTCGCTTACTTTAGCCGCTGGAAAGAACCTGTCAAGAAAAATTCAATTCATGTCAGCCCATGAATTAACTGAATTTGGAGGTAAATAAAATAACCAATCTTTAGCCAAGTCAGATAAAGAGAAAGGGAAATCTCTCAATTTAATTTGATCCTCGGTAACACCCTGTGGTTTCATGCTAGTGCAAACCATATGGAATTCCAACAAGTGTTTGTACGGATATTCAGTGGGAAAGCCGTGGAAAGTGGGAAGAAGATGAACGAGTCCTGTCTTTAATTAAAACGGAGTCCTGCCACTAGGAAAATTAATGCATAATGGCATCTGAGTGACAGGAGCTATGGCTAGCTCTTGGATCGTTTGTTCTTCTTCTGTCATCGGGATGTTGTATGTATCTGCTTCAGAGTCTGTCTCTGGAATTGATTTTGCTTCTGAACTTTGCTCTTGTTCTTCTTGTCTTTTTCTCTTTTCTCAAAGCGTTTGTGCGTGGATTCTTCGTGCTCGTGCTTCGATCTCTGGATCTAGATATATTAATTCACCTGGGTTAATTCTGGTCATAAAATCAAAAACTAGAAAAATAAATTAGTACTTGCCGTAAATCCCTGGCAACGACACCAATTTGATAACCGTCGTTTTGCTATCAAAATGATTCTTGACTTCTTAATAAATAAAAATGAAAATGTAGTATAGAGAAGCAGGGTCGATCCACAGAGACTGTGGTGTTTCTGATTTAATAAAACTCTTTCTTGATTTTAGAAAAAGATAGAATTTCAGATGAAGTTAAAAAGATATATTAAAATAAAATAAAATAAAGAAAAATAATATATAATAATAAATATTAATATTAATAAATATAAAAAGGAGGATTATTTTTTAAAGTTATGGTTAAAATAAAAAATAAGAATTAAATAAAAGAAAAAAATAATTAAATAAACAAATTAAAGAGATTAAGATAAAAAGAAACTTATTGTGAAAGCAGTCTCAAACTTCAGCTTCGCCTCAAATTCCTCGGATCATCAAAACAAATTTTTACTTCAAGATTCACGTAAGCTTACAAGAACAATTCTTCGTTGCCAACTCGGATTGTGCCGTTTCAACAACAACTGATTCCGATATCAGTTTCCTCTTAGTAAACAATTTTGCTAAGTGTGTTCTCGGGAAGTTGAATATGCTTTAATAAGCAAATCCTTCTTCAAACATTAACCATAACAATATCCGGACCAATGTCTAAATAATTTTGATTTGAAAAGTAAGCTTCAGAAAACAGAGAGAAAATCTGAAACAATTTAAGTACCTTACAATTCTCACGTTTGGAATTGAGTCTTCGCTTTAGTCTTCGGCTTGAAAGAAAATTAGCTAAGCATAACCAAAGTCATACTTAGCATAATAGAGAAAAGTATGCAAAAAATAGAGAAAAAGCTATAGAGAAAAATAAGATTTTATTCTCAAATGAGAGAGATATGTTTCTAGGCTCACCCTTAGAGGGTATTTATAGCCTTCAAAATCCTAAAAACAAGCTAAAACATCTTAAATCCTAATTAAATCACTTAAAACTATTTAAACTAAAATACCTAAAAAATAATATAATATTCTAAATCCTAATTAAAATACTAAAACCTATTTAAACTAAAATACAAAGATAAAGATAAAATATAAAAATAATATCCTAAAACTTAATTAAAATACTAAAAACCTATTTAAACTAAAATACAAAGATAAAAATATAATGTTTAAAATATTATCCTAAATTTGAGTTTAACCCAAATCCGAATTCCAGCCAGCTTTGATTCCGAAAATAAAAAATCTGCAGACCTTTTTGTGCAATTTTCATAATCTTACGTCCTATACAAAAAATGAATTAAAATGAACAAATAAGCCACAAAAATCAATGATTAAAGAGTAATTTAAAAGTAAAATATTAACTAAATTAATCACTTATCATTTTGGAATGTGCAGCGGATGCCAAACAAGTATTTGCCGTGGAACCTTCTGTTTTTTTTCCCGAATTGAGTCCCATATAGAGCTTGCTGAAGTTACACCCATAGATAGGAAGCTACGCACCTCTGGACTCAGTTTCAAGAGTCTTCTAAAGCACCAGCTTGTTGTGGATTTTACTTCCACTGACCAAAAGTCTTTGTCCTTTAAAACATATTTGTGGAGCCATGCTACCCATAATGATCTTTCACCAGCAAGGATTTGTTTGATTAAGGTGAACATACAAGCCTTATTCCATGTCTTCATGTCTTTAATTTCGAGTCCTCATTCTGACTTTAGGGAGCATATTTTGTTCCAGCTCACACGTTCTCCTGAAGCTGGTTTATCGGATCCTTTCCAGAAGAAGCGAGAGCATAGTTGTTCAATTTTTTTCAAGACGGAGTTAGGTAGGAAAAGTTGCCTGCACCAGAAGTTGGAGATAGAAGATATAACAGTTCGGATTAGCTCCAGTCGACCTGCATAGCTGAGCAATTTACTGGACCAGTGAAGCAATCTCGATTTAATATTATCAATGAGTGTCACACAATCTTTTTCTGAGATTTTTCTTGAAAGCAGTTGAATACCTAGATATCTCACTGGCAAAGAGCTATGTTTAAAACCAGTAGACTGCTTAATACTCTCGATAGTTCCCCAAGGCATACCTGCAGCAAAGAATTCACTTTTGGAGGCATTAAGTTGAAGTCCTGACATTTCTTAAAAATTTTCTAGAACACTAGTAACCCATATGACTGAGTCAACTGATCCCTTGCAAAATATAAGTAGATCATCGGCAAAAGATAAATGAGTCAAGTTGATTCTTTTACACTTAGGGTGAAAGCCGAAAATGCCCTTAGCCCCTTGTCTAAGGCATTTGGCTCCTTTAAAGTACCCAGTCAAACTCCCATTAATAGAGACCGAGTAACTTGATGTAGAGTAACAAGTTTCGATCCAATTGATAAAGGTCCTTAGGAGACCGATAGCCTTCAAGATAGCTGAGATGAAATTTCAATTGAGTGAACCAAAGGCTTTATGGAGATCAATCTTCAAAGAGCATTTAGGAGACAAATTTTTCCTGTTGTAACCTCTAACCAATTCCTAAGCAAGGAGCGTGTTTTCTATGATGCTTCTTCCTTTCACAAAAGTCGTTTGATTAAGAGTTACAAGATCAGGCATAATACAATTTAATCTTCTTACTAGAATCTTTGAAATGGCTTTGTAGATTACAGAACAACAAGAGATTGGTCTGAATTCCTTTACCTTACTTGGGTTAGGAATATTTGGAATTAATGCAATGACAGTAGCATTGAAGGCAAGAAGAAGAAATGAATCTCTAAAGAATTGGTGGATATCAGCATTGATGTCTCTTTCAATAATAGGCCAGGTCTTTTTAAAAAAGAATGGGGAAAAACCATCAGGACCTGGAGATTTCTCGTTGCCTTGGCTGAAGAATGCCTCTTTAATTTCTTCTTTAGTGACTTCCTTAACAAGTCCATCAGCTTTATCAACAGGAAAATTGAAGTGAAAAAGGTTCTTCAACAGAGTTGGATCAGTTTCCTTTACTGTAGGATCAACTTTTCCAAGAAGATTAGAGAAGTAATCGATGATCTCTGTTGAAATCTGATCATAAGTTTCCAGTCTATTGCCTTGTTCGTCAATGAGAATGTGTATTGTGTCTCTTTTATTTTTGAGGGCAACAGTGGAATGGAAGAGTTTTATGAGATGTGTATTGTGTCTCTTTTATTTTTGAGGGCAACAGTGGAATGGAAGAGTTTTGTTCATTTATCCCCCTCTTTTAGCCATTGAATTCTTGATTTCTGCCTGAAAAAAAGAGCTTCTGCTTCCTCAAGAGTTTTCAGCTCATTCTGGAGGAGAATTTCTTTGTCAATGCCATCGCCTAGAAGAGTTGTTAATTGTTGCAGTTCAAGATCGATTCTTTTTTGTTTAACTATGGCTGAAAGGTCACTGTAAGAAGCTTGGTTAAGAGCCTTGAGGCATTCTTTCACCCTCCTTAATTTATTGAAAAGAGAATGCATCGGGTTACCATAGGTAGGAATTTGCCAGGTTTGGTTCATCACTTCCAAGAAGTTAGGGTGTTGTGTCCAGTAATTAAAAAACTTAAACAGCTTTGGTCTGTTAGCTTCTACTTCTTTTTTGAGCCATACTTTTGTAAAACAGTGATCAAAAATTCCTGGGGCTAGAAACTCAACGTGGGAATCCTGAAAAGAGATAGCCCATTTGGAATTTATTAATACTCGATCAAGCTTCCTTGCGAGGAAAGAGTTTTTCTGCTTGTTACTCCAAGTTAGTAAAGGACCGAAGAAAGGGTGATCATAGAGTTCCAGGTTCAAAAGAGCATCCTGGAAATCTTTCAGGTCTGAAGAAAGAATAGGGCCTAGGATGTCGTAATCTGAGCTTCCATTCGGGTGGAGAATTATATTGAAATCGCCACCTAAAATCCAAGGGAGATGCCCTATTTTAGAATCCAATTCGTAGAGATATTGCCTGAGAAGCCTTCATTGTTTGCCATCGTTACTTCTATAAACTGAAGTAATGACCAAGGGAGCGTTTTGGTATAGACCCTGAATCGAGATACACTGATCTGAAACTTGAATAATCGAGAAGCTTAAGTGTTTTTTCCAGAGGATCCATCTTGGAGGCATAATCATAGTTTGAATAGACAGTCCAATCATCAAAATTTTTTCCAAGGATTGCATCAGATTTTTCTTCTTTTACTCTAGTTTCGAGTATACAAAAACATCAACTTGATTAAGAATAGCTCTTCTAATAACTTTATCTTGTTTAAAAGGACAATTAAGTCCTCTCATATTCCAAAAAGCGATGATCATTTAGAAGGAGTAGCTAGTGTTCCCTCACCAGAACTATCAACTTTTGACTTTGGCTTGTATAATTTGATTTTCTTCTTTGACTTTAGGTCCTTTACTATGACAGCCACTCCTAGGGAAGATGCACGAGGTTTCTTTGGAGGGTCTTCTATTATCGAATTGGCTTCCTCAATTTCATTAAGAACTTGGAATCTATTTGTAGAATCTATTGAATTATGTTTTTCTTTTTCTTTTGATGGTCTACCCCTTCCCTTTTTAGGAATATTAGACGATAAATCACATTTTCTCTTAAAGGTGGGAGCTGGTAAAGAGAGGTCCATATCAGAGTGGGTAGGATGATCAGTATTCTGGTCTGGTAGATTCTTCAGTGTATCTACAATTATGACTCCTTGATCAGTATCGTCAGTAGGGGAAATGATCTACTGCTCCACTGCTTTCCCTTTAGATTTAATAGTATATGCTTCCAAATTTGCATTCTCAATGTTGGGGGAGGAAACATCTTTTTCTTGTAATAGTTCGATCCCACCTACTGAGGGTAAAACCTCTTTTTCAAGTGTAGAAGTCTCTTTAATCCTCCAGACCTGATTTTTAGCTTGAGAAGAGGTCTTAGAAAGCAAACAACTTTTTTCATTGTGACCAAAGGTTTTACAAGTTTTACATCTTGCTGGCATCCAAGGAATTTCAACAGCAACAATAGCTTTTATCCCTTCCTTTAACTCCACTTCAATTGTTTTGGGTATCTCATCATTAATCCCTATCTCTATGCAGAGCTTTGCATATTCTAAATGAGATTTGGTTGCAGTTATAGAATCCATGGAAAGGGGAATGCCTATTGCACTAGCTAAGTAACTGAGGCCAAGACGGTTGTACAGCTCTAAAGGAACGTTAAAGAGATGAACCCAGATTGGAACACTGGAAAGATCAAAGTTCAGTTTGGGGAGATTAGGTTCCCATTTTCTTAAAATAAGAGTTTTGTTCGAAACATGCCATGGCCCATTCTCAATCACCCATTCTCTAGCTTTTTCAGAGGCAAATGTAAAAAAAAATAGATTCGTTCCGGCAATACTAACCTTGATATTTTCGCCCTTCAAAGCTTTCCTCCACAGGTTATCTACAAGCCTTTGCATTGAGGAGAAACTTGGAGCAGCACCAAGAAACTGTCCCACAAGCGATAAATTCCATTCCTTGATTCATTCATCGAGCACCTCTTGCGGGGGTTTGACAGATTTAGAACCTTTACAAACCCTAGGCGGAAAATACTCAAGGTTTTGCCTCTCAGAACAGCCGAATAGTTTTCGCCAGTCCATAATCCGCAGAGAGGATCGAAAGGGAAGTGAAGAAAAGGTTGCCCAGAAGAAGGGCACCGTACGAAGATGAGATACACCAGAGACACGATGGAGAAGCTCGGAACCGTTAGTCTTGCTAACGTGCACCCAATTTCAACGTTCTCCTCCCTTGACTTCTTCCTTTCACGTTCTCCTCTCCTTGAGTTTTGGGAATCTTCCTCAATTTACGGCGCTGAGCGATCATCCATGGCCCAAAGTCAGAAATGATTAACTTTGCACCGGCTGCCGGTAAGACTTCACTCCCTGAACCGCCATTTTCATCTTCACCAGTCTTCCCTACAGGAGAGGCATTATTCTGGGTTATTTCCATGTTAGTAGGAGCAGTAAAGGAGCAGTCCTTGTGGCCAAACATTCCACAATTAAAACAAATCAGAGGCAAGCCCTCATATTCGATATGGTACCACCAACCGTCAACCTCAATTTTAGGTACCAGAGCTTTCCCGAAATCCATTTCCACAATGAAGATCATCCGATGATGAAACCTTTATGAGGAAATAGCCCTTGCCAACATCAATGAGTTCATAATCCGCTTTAGGCATTCACATTTTGCGTAGCCGCTCATCTAAGGCCCGAAATCCAATCGGCCGCTCATCAATGAAGATCAGGCAATTTGACCATCGAATATGAAGGCTAGCTCTGAACTCATCGGAGGTACACAACGCCGGCCAGGAGTCCTTGGTGGTCACGGAAATCAGGCCATCATTGTTGTCAATTGGCCCGAACTCTTCAAAAACCTGGAAACCCTTTATTATACTTTTTCCCATGAGCATGTTCCTGATAAGACTTCTTCTCGATCTCCTGCCCAGAGGTCGGAGTAGTACCGGCAGAGTTAACATTTCCAAGCTCCACACCGTTCCTGGCACTGTCACCCATTTCCACATCTCCTTACCACTAGAAGCTTCGGGAAGCAGTGTTGCTTTAATCTTCTTCGTGCTTCTCAAGAGTTGATCTTGTTCCTTTCTGGACCGTTCCGAGTAATCTTGTTCCATTTCTCAAAGGTAGGGATATTGACAATTTAAGAAGTTCAAAGGGGATGTGACACTTAAAGTTATTATTAATAGGACAGAATCCAAAACTTAAGTTTAGATTTTTTGAGCAAATACATTTAAGCTATTTATCTTTATTCTTTATATTCTTACATGTTATAAATTTTAGTCCTATTAAAATCATTCTCTTTTATCTCCTCTCTAGGTAAGATAAGAATTAAATTTATAATCTATCAAAAAAATTAGATTTTTAGAATTTGAATAAAAATATATAAATCATAAGATTTTTATTTAAAAGAAAACCTTATAACTCGAAAGGTGATCTATTGATTAGAGTCAATCCAGACTTCCAAATTTTATTTAGTAGAGTGAAAAAAATTAAAATGAGGATAAAAATTAAAGAAAATAGAATTTCTTTCTATTAATATGAAGAAAATTATATTTTTATTATTTACTATAAATAAAATTTTAAAAAATATGCGTATTTTAAACAAACTTTCAGTTCTCATTTCATTTATTAGAATTAATTTTCTTTCCACTTTCCCACTTTCACTCAACTCTAAGACACTTGAGTATTATTTCATATATATATTTTTCTTATTTCGATAAAAGACAATTCATGTAGATACAACCAAGATCATAAGGGATAAAACATGTAATAACCCATTCCCTTGGGTTTTATTCATTAGGCAACAATACTGAAGGCATCAAATTCTTACAACATGAAGAGCCGTTGGATTTTGATCCCACAAAAGAAAGGGTAAAAAGAATAGGGATATGCGAGAGAATGAAAAACCTGTACATGAATGTTTCTTTATGCTTACACGGATTATACTTTTATTGTTCTCCTTTAATCATATTCCTAACTAGCAAATATTTGTAATATTCTGTTCTAATCAAAGGTAATATCTAACACCTACCATCACCTGTGACTTGCCCTTTCTTCTCTGCATGATAAAGAATTTATCTTTCCCTATGATGCTGTGAAACAGCAAAGTCAGCTACAAGTTGTCCGTCGCACTTCGGGTCTTGTGCATGGCCATCATGTGGAGCACAAACAGAAAGCTTGTTGTTGCACCAAACTCATTGCTGGATTGACCGAAGTTCCCACTTACCTTCACCATCAACGAGTATTAACTCCAAAGCATGGAACGGTATTAGAGCAGGCCGCTGAGAAAACAAAATAGACAAGATAAGGGAACGGATTAAATTCGAATGAATTATTTTTGTTTCAATGTTGGCGTTAAGAATCAAGATGAGCATCATAAATGTTCTATTATCCATCAAAGTAAAAAAGAAAAGTTGTTCTGAAAATAACTGGTTGCATGTTTGTCAGATCAAACTACTTGCCTTTGACGAGGTAATAACGGTAATACCCAAATCTTTTTGCCACTCTATAAAGTTGTTCCTCAACATCGACATTCATGGCACTGCCATGGGAAGAATAACCAGGTAAATCAGACATCTAGTTACCGGTTTTTAAACAAAATACATATGTGATTAGTTGCATACTTTGTGCACTCATCAAATTTAGGTCTGTGGAAGAACAAGCGTGCCTGTAAATAGAAAGTTTGTAATCAAAATAACATAATTATGCCTGGGATAAATAGTAAAATATTGTTGTCCAAAAGGTGAAAAAGTTGGCTTAACTCACCATTCCTATTCTCTGCTGTTCTCCGAGAGAGAGGATGTCTTCCCAATTGAGATTAGCATCCCAACCACCTTCCTCACGTTATAAAAGATAATTCAATCGAACATTTTCAAGAATGGTTTTCAAACGTGCATCAAGAATGCTGTTGGCATCCGCTTGGCTTTCACCTGAAAATTTTAGATGTTCACAATTTCCAAAAACACAGAGACAACTTCAGTACATTGTTTTCAGATAAAGCACTAGAGAAATAAAATGGTAACTTGGACACCAACACATAATAAATGATGTGTCACTCTATCACACCTTTAAATTGTTGTCTTATTCTTAATGAATTGAGAAGAGGGACTAGATCATAGTTACATAAATCGCTGAATAGCCCACGATCTATGTACTATGCTGCGATCCAAAAAGCGGTACGAACGCGATCCAGGTCGTTTCAAAATCGTGATTTGGTACGAAAGCTTATACGATCCAAAATTGATCATTCAATCGACCCAATTGATGTTCAAATCGCGATTTGAAGCCAACGATTCATCGTTCTGGACAATAAAAAACTCAAACAGACAACCAATTTCATCAATTCGACTGTTCAATTCCATCCACAATCTGACGCGGAAAAGAACGACGTTGATCGGCCCTGGGATTTCTATTCACACTTCACGACCGAGAGGAGTCAGTTAATCAATCATATTTTCATTCACACAGAACATAAATTATGGATTCTTTATCTTCTGATTTTAACTACTATAAATATTTAAGTTAGTCGCACAGCATAGAGCCGCAAACAATGTCGACTTTTATCATGTTTTTTTAAAGTTTTAAGTTTATTCATGACTTTATGAGTTTATGTAATTTTAGGGACCTAGCGAATTGCGATCCCGTTCCACGTTCCCGTACCGGAGCGTACCGTGATCCATGTGACTATGAACTAGATACAAACTCAGGTGAACCCCCTAGAAACAAATTTGAGAATTTTTAACTCGAATTATAGTCCATGTCCCTTGATAACCCATTCCCAGAGAAAAAATGCAAATGCAAACTGCCAAAATTCCAGATAATTATTGTTTTCATTTTCATCAACTATTTGTGGTGGGATGAGGAAGACCAAATAGTAAATGGATAGATGTAAATTATTTTAAAGAAAGAGGAACCTCGGTCTTTACTGAGCACATTGAGAATATAATCCTCGACACCGCAAAATACACAATATCAAGGGAAAAGTTTAATTTCGTCTTTAATAGACAATTACACATCAAAATGACACCTCTTTCTTAACACTTACAGAATCTAAAAAGGTAAACCTAACCCAACCACCAAAGTACATCAAACAAGCAATTATTTTTCATGGTTATATCATTGGACCAAAACGGCCATTCAATATTAAACAAGATAAGGAAACCAATGCAAGTTTGCAAGTAGGTTACCTTGACCATACAACTTCAATTCTCTCAGGTTTGCTTCCTCACGAGAGAGAAGGATATATGATTTGATCCCTTAAAGTTCCCAAGCATGTATGTGGTCGCTGAGGAACATAGAATATGCCACCAGATGCAGTATCTTCATCAAAATGGTGGGATGGTTTATAAAGCCTTCCACTCACAATGGGCCACAGACCTCTAAGTACTCTGAAAACAGAACTTTTTCCACTCCCATTTGGACCTTAATAGATTAAAGGCCAGTCAGATACACATTCCTATCAACGAAACAATAAAATTTCCTATACTAACCAGTAACTAGCAGGCTTTTTCCTGGTACTACATCACATGTCAACTGCCTAGCCAACAGCTTCTGTGCTGGAGTAATTATATCCACCTCAGAAAAAGAAATAACATCAATCGTATTACTACAACATTGTTAATTGCATGTTGTTTGATATCCCACAATTCTTTTCCTAAATCGATCAATGCTTAATTTATTTATGTTGTAATCCCATTTATTCTATTTTTTTTCTATTACATTGCTACCACATTGATCCCTACATCAACAATATACAATTGTACGTTTGTTGCATAACAAATCTTTGAAGTAATACTAATCTATGTGGATATGATACTTAACGCATTAGCTGCATCAACTTTTACTACTTGATAAACGATAGTGTATGCTTACACTAATTGTTGTTGTATTATTCAAAGCATCTCGGCCACAAATAGTAATGTTGTTTGTATAATATATTTAGCTTGTATTTTTAATTTATGGTTACGTGAGTTTCTTTGAATAGTTATGCATTGTTGTGCTCTTGTAGCCCATTCTTTAGTTTTTTTTTTTTTTACCAATTTTAAGATCCTCATAATTGATATTAGATCTCTAGAGAGAACCATTGTTAAAGAATTATGACATCTTGACTTCTAGAGTTTAGTTATGAATTCTATTAGGGGGCGTGTGCATTCCATGTGTACTTGTGTTTATATATATATTGTGTCGCAACTGTCTTTCGGTTGGGCCCCGGAATTGGGTTTCGACTTGAAAAATATGGATTGGAGTCGTCACCGATCATTTATTTAAAACAAATGGGTTGATCGGATACCCTATTTCTTACCTGATCTGCGCCTTTCCAAAGATGTGTCGGGTTCGGGAGTCGGTTACGGTCAAGGATGGATTAGCACCCTTGAACCGTCCTTTCGGTACTACGTAATTTCCAGTTGTCTTTGATTAAGAAAATTGCAAGTTAAATTAAAAAGGTAAAATTTGATCCGAATTACTTACCCTTAATGAGTTTACAGAAATACCCTTAAAAATAAGATTTTAAAAGAAAATAATAATATTAAAAGAAAGTAACAAAACTAAAGAGTAAATCAAGGAAATAAATGAAACCAATAATAATAAACATAAAATAATTGGATGAAAAAAATGAAATTGAATAAAATAAAATAAATGAAGATAAAATATATATACAAAAAGAATAAAAAAGGTAAAGTGTTTTTTAAAAAAAGAAAAATAATAATAAGAGCAAAGAAACTAAAAATATAATGAAAATAAATAAATAGTATAAATAAAATAATAAAAAATATATATATAAAAATATAAAAATGTATGTATAATATAATAAAATATTAAATAGTAATAATAATAATAAATAAATGAAAAAATAAATATACATATAATATTAACTAAAAAATAGTAATCATAGAAATATAAAATAAATAAAGTAAGATATATATATAACGTTAGGAAAATATAGTAAAAAACATAGTAAATAAGTAAACATAGATAAAAATAATATATATATATATATATATATAATAATAGGAAAATAATATAATATAACGCAAAGAAAAATGAAAAAAATTATAATAAATAAATAAAATTAAATTAAATATATACATATATACATATAAATAATAAGGGTTAAATTAAAATAAAAAAATGAATTAGAGGTCAAAATTAAAAGCCAATCGAAGAAAAAAAAGACAAAACACGCGGATCCACACGACCCGTTTATAAAAATCTGAATAGTTTTTCAAAAACACAAGCCTCGGGGACTAGATCTACAAAAATAGATCTCGAAAACGCCCTCGTTCATCGGCCAAAAACACTTCTCTCAGTTTTGTTTCGAAATCAAAACACAGCAAGGGTAAGGAAAAATAACATGAGAAGGTATGAACTTTACCTTTCAAAATATAAATGCTTCGAAAAATGACTACGAGTTGCTTGTAATTTTTTGCTTGGTATTTCGTATATCCTCCTCCGAATGTGTTACAATAGTGAGTTACAATGACTATTTATAATGCTTGTGGATCCTATCTTTAGGAGTTTAAATCATAGTAAAACTCTATCCTATTTTAAGGAGTTTGAATCCTAGCAAAATTCTATCCTATTTTTACGAGTTTGAATCCTAGTAGGATGAAAAGGTGTTGACAGCTGCCCCTCTTTGCCCATAGTCGTGTAACGGGGATAGGCAAAGATTAAAAGACACTTTTCGTTCAGTGGAGTTGAAAATTAACTCTGATGTTTCAATAACTCCTTGTCGAATTGAGTTACGGATGACTCATCCATCGTGAAGCCGAGTTCATCTTGAAATGATATGAAATTGAAGCCGTAGTTCAGAATTTGAATCAGTACGTGGCTTCTCGTTGCCCTTCGGTCTTCTTCTCAGTTTAAAGACCTTGGATCGAAATCGAACTGAGAAATCTTCATTGACAGATAGCTTTTGCTTGAAAATGGTTGCTTGTCACTAAAGCACGGTTAACCCAGGTCCTCTTCTCGACTTGAAAACCTCGACTGCAACTAGAAAGTAGTACGATTGATGTGTCATCGAGCTGAATGGAATCGAACTCGACAATTTTGATGGCAGATAACCCTTCTAGCCTTGAGTTATGCTGTAAATGATGTGCCTTGGAGCTGAGCGTAGTCGAACTCGAAGGTCTTTGTTGACAGATACTCCTTCTTTGAGTTGGATATCCTTCGCCGTGAAGTTGAAATCCAATCTAAAGATGGATGATGCTTGTGTGCACGATTCCCTTCGTCGTGAAGTTGAGCCTGAAATTGGATATCCTTTGTCGTGAAGTTGAAATCCAAGTAAGTAGCATTGTTCTGAGTCCAATATCCTCCGTCGTGAAGTTGAAATTGGCTCTGGAACCGGGAAATTATTTGTTGACAACCAGTCGTCCCTTCGTTGTGAAGTTGAACTTGTGTTGTCAAGTCCAATGTCCTTCGTGAAGTCGAAATTGACTCTGAATGATATTTTGTTGACAATCAGCCGCCCCTTCGTCATGAAGTTGAGCTTATGTTGTCTTGGGTCCAAGATCCTTCGCTGAGAAGTTGAAATTGGCTCTGAAATTGGGAAGTTGTTTATTGACAACCAGCGGTTCCTTCGTCGTGAAGTTGAACTTGCGTCCAGTGGTCCCTTCGTCGTGAAGTTGAACTTGTGTTGTCTGGAGTCTAATATCCTTCGTTGTGAAGTTGAAATTGGCTCTAAAATTGAGAAGTTGTTTATTGACAACCAGCGGTCCCTTCGTCGTGAAGTTGAACTTGCGTTGTCTGGAGTCCAATATCCTTCATTGTGAAGTTGAAATTGGCTCTGAAATTGGGAAGTTGTTTATTGACAACCAGCGTCCTTCGTCCGTGAAGTTGAACTTGCGTTGCCTTGAGTCCAATATCCTTTGTTGTGAAGTTGAAATTGGCTCTGAAATTGGGAAATTGTTTGTTGACAACCAGCGGTCCCTTCATCGTGAAGTTGAACTTGCGTTGTCTGGAGTCCAATATCCTTCGTTGTGAAGTTGAAATTGGCTCTGAAATTGAGAAGTTGTTTGTTGACAACCAGTGGTCCCTTCGTCGTGAAGTTGAACTTGCATTGTCTGGAGTTCAATATCCTTCGCTGTGAAGTTGAAATTGGCTCTGAAATTGGGAAGTTATTTATTAACAACCAGCGGTCCCTTCGTCGTGAAGTTGAACTTGCGTTGTCTTGAGTCCAATATCCTCGCTGTGAAGTGAATTGGCTCTGAAATTGGGAAATTGTTTATTGACAACCAGCGGTCCCTTCGTCATGAAGTTGAACTTGCGTTGTCTGGAATCTAATATCCTTCGTTGTAAAGTTGAAATTGGCTCTGAAATTGAGAAGTTTTTTGTTGACAACCAGCGGTCCCTTCGTCGTGAAGTTGAACTTGCGTTGTCTGGAGTCCAATATCCTTCGCTATGAAGTTGAAATTGGCTCTGAAATTGGGAAGTTGTTTATTGACAACCAGCGGTCCCTTCGTCGTGAAGTTGAACTTGCGTTGTCTTGAGTCCAATATCCTTCGCTGTGAAGTTGAAATTGGTTCTAAAATTGGGAAATTATTTATTGACAACCAGCGGTCCCTTCGTCGTGAAGTTGAACTTGCGTTGTCTGGAGTCCAATATCCTTCGTTGTGAAGTTGAAATTGGCTCTGAAATTGAGAAGTCGTTTGTTGACAACCAGCGGTCCCTTCGTTGTGAAGTTGAACTTGCGTTGTCTGGAGTCCAATATCCTTCGCTGTGAAGTTGAAATTGGCTCTGAAATTGAGAAATTATTTATTGACAACCAGCGGTCCCTTCGTCGTGAAGTTGAACTTGCGTTGTCTGGAGTCCAATATCCTTCGTTGTGAAGTTGAAATTGGCTCTGAAATTGAGAAGTTGTTTGTTGACAACCAGCGGTCCCTTCATTGTGATGTTGAACTTGTGTTGTCTTGAGTGGCACGATATTATCCGTCGTGGATTTGAAATCGTGGTTGTTTGGGTTCAAGCTAGATATCCTTCGTTGTGAAGTTGAAATCTACTCTCGAGCAAATTGTGAGTTCGAGAGAAACTTTCAATCTGTCGAGTTGGTCGAAGTGTAGCTTCTTGCTGCTGAGTTAAGCAACCATCATGAATCTTTAAAGTTGCTTTTGAATCGAGTATCCTTCGTCTTGAAGTCGAAACTTGACTTTAAAAGCTGCAAAAAATTATGTATGTGGAAAATGATAAATATGATGCTCTAAAATGTATTCATAAGATGCATGTAACATGAATTAGTTATATTTTATCTCCTGAAGGCAACAATACTGAAGGCATCAAATTCTTACAACATGAAGAGCCGTTGGATTTTGATCCCACAAAAGAAAGGGTAAAAAGAATAGGGATATGCGAGAGAATGAAAAACCTGTACATGAATGTTTCTTTATGCTTACACGGATTATACTTTTATTGTTCTCCTTTAATCATATTCCTAACTAGCAAATATTTGTAATATTCTGTTCTAATCAAAGGTAATATCTAACACCTACCATCACCTGTGACTTGCCCTTTCTTCTCTGCATGATAAAGAATTTATCTTTCCCTATGATGCTGTGAAACAGCAAAGTCAGCTACAAGTTGTCCGTCGCACTTCGGGTCTTGTGCATGGCCATCATGTGGAGCACAAACAGAAAGCTTGTTGTTGCACCAAACTCATTGCTGGATTGACCGAAGTTCCCACTTACCTTCACCATCAACGAGTATTAACTCCAAAGCATGGAACGGTATTAGAGCAGGCCGCTGAGAAAACAAAATAGACAAGATAAGGGAACGGATTAAATTCGAATGAATTATTTTTGTTTCAATGTTGGCGTTAAGAATCAAGATGAGCATCATAAATGTTCTATTATCCATCAAAGTAAAAAAGAAAAGTTGTTCTGAAAATAACTGGTTGCATGTTTGTCAGATCAAACTACTTGCCTTTGACGAGGTAATAACGGTAATACCCAAATCTTTTGCCACTCTATAAAGTTGTTCCTCAACATCGACATTCATGGCACTGCCATGGGAAGAATAACCAGGTAAATCAGACATCTAGTTACCGGTTTTTAAACAAAATACATATGTGATTAGTTGCATACTTTGTGCACTCATCAAATTTAGGTCTGTGGAAGAACAAGCGTGCCTGTAAATAGAAAGTTTGTAATCAAAATAACATAATTATGCCTGGGATAAATAGTAAAATATTGTTGTCCAAAAGGTGAAAAAGTTGGCTTAACTCACCATTCCTATTCTCTGCTGTTCTCCGAGAGAGAGGATGTCTTCCCAATTGAGATTAGCATCCCAACCACCTTCCTCACGTTATAAAAGATAATTCAATCGAACATTTTCAAGAATGGTTTTCAAACGTGCATCAAGAATGCTGTTGGCATCCGCTTGGCTTTCACCTGAAAATTTTAGATGTTCACAATTTCCAAAAACACAGAGACAACTTCAGTACATTGTTTTCAGATAAAGCACTAGAGAAATAAAATGGTAACTTGGACACCAACACATAATAAATGATGTGTCACTCTATCACACCTTTAAATTGTTGTCTTATTCTTAATGAATTGAGAAGAGGGACTAGATCATAGTTACATAAATCGCTGAATAGCCCACGATCTATGTACTATGCTGCGATCCAAAAAGCGGTAACGCGATCCAGTCGTTTCAAAATCGTGATTTGGTACGAAAGCTTATACGATCCAAAATTGATCATTCAATCGACCCAATTGATGTTCAAATCGCGATTTGAAGCCAACGATTCATCGTTCTGGACAATAAAAAACTCAAACAGACAACCAATTTCATCAATTCGACTGTTCAATTCCATCCACAATCTGACGCGGAAAAGAACGACGTTGATCGGCCCTGGGATTTCTATTCACACTTCACGAGAGAGGAGTCAGTTAATCATCATATTTCATTCACACAGAACATAAATTATGGATTCTTTATCTTCTGATTTTAACTACTATAAATATTTAAGTTAGTCGCACAGCATAGAGCCGCAAACAATGTCGACTTTTATCATGTTTTTTTAAAGTTTTAAGTTTATTCATGACTTTATGAGTTTATGTAATTTTAGGGACCTAGCGAATTGCGATCCCGTTCCACGTTCCCGTACCGGAGCGTACCGTGATCCATGTGACTATGAACTAGATACAAACTCAGGTGAACCCCCTAGAAACAAATTTGAGAATTTTTAACTCGAATTATAGTCCATGTCCCTTGATAACCCATTCCCAGAGAAAAAATGCAAATGCAAACTGCCAAAATTCCAGATAATTATTGTTTTCATTTTCATCAACTATTTGTGGTGGGATGAGGAAGACCAAATAGTAAATGGATAGATGTAAATTATTTTAAAGAAAGAGGAACCTCGGTCTTTACTGAGCACATTGAGAATATAATCCTCGACACCGCAAAATACAACAATATCAAGGGAAAAAGTTTAATTTCGTCTTTAATAGACAATTACACATCAAAATGACACCTCTTTCTTAACACTTACAGAATCTAAAAAGGTAAACCTAACCCAACCACCAAAGTACATCAAACAAGCAATTATTTTTTCATGGTTATATCATTGGACCAAAACGGCCATTCAATATTAAACAAGATAAGGAAACCAATGCAAGTTTGCAAGTAGGTTACCTTGACCATACAACTTCAATTCTCTCAGGTTTGCTTCCTCACGAGAGAGAGGATATATGATTTGATCCCTTAAAGTTCCCAAGCATGTATGTGGTCGCTGAGGAACATAGAATATGCCACCAGATGCAGTATCTTCATCAAAATGGTGGGATGGTTTATAAAGCCTTCCACTCACAATGGGCCACAGACCTCTAAGTACTCTGAAAACAGAACTTTTTCCACTCCCATTTGGACCTTAATAGATTAAAGGCCAGTCAGATACACATTCCTATCAACGAAACAATAAAATTTCCTATACTAACCAGTAACTAGCAGGCTTTTTCCTGGTACTACATCACATGTCAACTGCCTAGCCAACAGCTTCTGTGCTGGAGTAATTATATCCACCTCAGAAAAAGAAATAACATCAATCGTATTACTACAACATTGTTAATTGCATGTTGTTTGATATCCCACAATTCTTTTCCTAAATCGATCAATGCTTAATTTATTTATGTTGTAATCCCATTTATTCTATTTTTTTTCTATTACATTGCTACCACATTGATCCCTACATCAACAATATACAATTGTACGTTTGTTGCATAACAAATCTTTGAAGTAATACTAATCTATGTGGATATGATACTTAACGCATTAGCTGCATCAACTTTTACTACTTGATAAACGATAGTGTATGCTTACACTAATTGTTGTTGTATTATTCAAAGCATCTCGGCCACAAATAGTAATGTTGTTTGTATAATATATTTAGCTTGTATTTTTAATTTATGGTTACGTGAGTTTCTTTGAATAGTTATGCATTGTTGTGCTCTTGTAGCCCATTCTTTAGTTTTTTTTTTTTTACCAATTTTAAGATCCTCATAATTGATATTAGATCTAGAGAGAACCATTGTTAAAGAATTATGACATCTTGACTTCTAGAGTTTAGTTATGAATTCTATTAGGGGGCGTGTGCATTCCATGTGTACTTGTGTTTATATATATATTGTGTCGCAACTGTCTTTCGGTTGGGCCCCGGAATTGGGTTTCGACTTGAAAAATCCTTTCCAAAGATTGTGTCGGGTTCGGGAGTCGGTTACGGTCAAGGATGGATTAGCACCCTTGAACCGTCCTTTCGGTACTACGTAATTTCCAGTTGTCTTTGATTAAGAAAATTGCAAGTAAATTAAAAAGGTAAATTTGATCCGAATTACTTACCCTTAATGAGTTTACAGAAATCCCTTAAAATAAGATTTTAAAGAAAATAATAATAATAAAAGAAAGTAACAAACTAAAGAGTAAATCAAGGAAATAAATGAAACCAATAATAATAAACATAAAATAATTGGATGAAAAAATGAAATTGAATAAAATAAAATAAATGAAGATAAAATATATACAAAAAGAATAAAAAGGTAAAGTGTTTTTTAAAAAAAGAAAAATAATAATAAGAGCAAAGAAACTAAAAATATAATGAAAATAAATAAATAGTATAAATAAAATAATAAAAATATATATAAAAATATAAAATGTATGTATAATATAATAAAATATTAAATAGTAATAAATAATAAATAAATGAAAAAAATATACAATTATACTAAAAAAATAGTAATCATAGAAATATAAAATAAAATAAAGTAAGAATATATATATATAACGTTAGGAAAATATAGTAAAAAAACATAGTAAATAAGTAAACATAGATAAAAAATATATAATATATATATATATATAATAAGGGAAAATAAATAATATAACGCAAAGAAAAATGAAAAAAATTATAATAAATAAATAAAATAAAATTAAATATATACATATATACATAAATAATAAGGGTTAAATTAAAATAAAAAAATGAATTAGAGGTCAAAATTAAAAGCCAATCGAAGAAAAAAAAGACAAAACACGCGGATCCACACGACCCGTTTATAAAAATCTGAATAGTTTTTCAAAAACACAAGCCTCGGGGACTAGATCTACAAAAATAGATCTCGAAAACGCCCTCGTTCATCGGCCAAAAACACTTCTCTCAGTTTTGTTTCGAAATCAAAACACAGCAAGGGTAAGGAAAAATAACATGAGAAGGTATGAACTTTACCTTTCAAAATATAAATGCTTCGAAAAATGACTACGAGTTGCTTGTAATTTTTTGCTTGGTATTTCGTATATCCTCCTCCGAATGTGTTACAATAGTGAGTTACAATGACTATTTATAATGCTTGTGGATCCTATCTTTAGGAGTTTAAATCATAGTAAAACTCTATCCTATTTTAAGGAGTTTGAATCCTAGCAAAATTCTATCCTATTTTTACGAGTTTGAATCCTAGTAGGATGAAAAGGTGTGTTGACAGCTGCCCCTCTTTGCCCATAGTCGTGTAACGGGGATAGGGCAAAGATTAAAAGACACACTTTTCGTTCAGTGGAGTTGAAAATTAACTCTGATGTTTCAATAACTCCTTGTCGAATTGAGTTACGGATGACTCATCCATCGTGAAGCCGAGTTCATCTTGAAATGATATGAAATTGAAGCCGTAGTTCAGAATTTGAATCAGCACGTGGCTTCTCGTTGCCCTTCGGTCTTCTTCTCAGTTTAAAGACCTTGGATCGAAATCGAACTGAGAAATCTTCATTGACAGATAGCTTTTGCTTGAAAATGGTTGCTTGTCACTAAAGCACGGTTAACCCAGGTCCTCTTCTCGACTTGAAAACCTCGACTGCAACTAGAAAGTAGTACGATTGATGTGTCATCGAGCTGAATGGAATCGAACTCGACAATTTTGATGGCAGATAACCCTTCTAGCCTTGAGTTATGCTGTAAATGATGTGCCTTGGAGCTGAGCGTAGTCGAACTCGAAGGTCTTTGTTGACAGATACTCCTTCTTTGAGTTGGATATCCTTCGCCGTGAAGTTGAAATCCAATCTAAAGATGGATGATGCTTGTGTGCACGATTCCCTTCGTCGTGAAGTTGAGGTGGCCCCTTCGTCGTGAAGTTGAGCCTGAAATTGGATATCCTTTGTCGTGAAGTTGAAATCCAAGTAAGTAGCATTGTTCTGAGTCCAATATCCTCCGTCGTGAAGTTGAAATTGGCTCTGGAACCGGGAAATTATTTGTTGACAACCAGTCGTCCCTTCGTTGTGAAGTTGAACTTGTGTTGTCTCAAGTCCAATGTCCTTCGCTGTGAAGTCGAAATTGACTCTGAATGATATTTTGTTGACAATCAGCCGCCCCTTCGTCATGAAGTTGAGCTTATGTTGTCTTGGGTCCAAGATCCTTCGCTGAGAAGTTGAAATTGGCTCTGAAATTGGGAAGTTGTTTATTGACAACCAGCGGTTCCTTCGTCGTGAAGTTGAACTTGCGTTGTCTTGAGTCCAATATCCTACGTCGTGAAGTTGAAATTGGCTCTGAAATTGGGAAATTGTTTATTGACAACCAGTGGTCCCTTCGTCGTGAAGTTGAACTTGTGTTGTCTGGAGTCTAATATCCTTCGTTGTGAAGTTGAAATTGGCTCTAAAATTGAGAAGTTGTTTATTGACAACCAGCGGTCCCTTCGTCGTGAAGTTGAACTTGCGTTGTCTGGAGTCCAATATCCTTCATTGTGAAGTTGAAATTGGCTCTGAAATTGGGAAGTTGTTTATTGACAACCAGCGGTCCCTTCGTCGTGAAGTTGAACTTGCGTTGCCTTGAGTCCAATATCCTTTGTTGTGAAGTTGAAATTGGCTCTGAAATTGGGAAATTGTTTGTTGACAACCAGCGGTCCCTTCATCGTGAAGTTGAACTTGCGTTGTCTGGAGTCCAATATCCTTCGTTGTGAAGTTGAAATTGGCTCTGAAATTGAGAAGTTGTTTGTTGACAACCAGTGGTCCCTTCGTCGTGAAGTTGAACTTGCATTGTCTGGAGTTCAATATCCTTCGCTGTGAAGTTGAAATTGGCTCTGAAATTGGGAAGTTATTTATTAACAACCAGCGGTCCCTTCGTCGTGAAGTTGAACTTGCGTTGTCTTGAGTCCAATATCCTACGCTGTGAAGTTGAAATTGGCTCTGAAATTGGGAAATTGTTTATTGACAACCAGCGGTCCCTTCGTCATGAAGTTGAACTTGCGTTGTCTGGAATCTAATATCCTTCGTTGTAAAGTTGAAATTGGCTCTGAAATTGAGAAGTTTTTTGTTGACAACCAGCGGTCCCTTCGTCGTGAAGTTGAACTTGCGTTGTCTGGAGTCCAATATCCTTCGCTATGAAGTTGAAATTGGCTCTGAAATTGGGAAGTTGTTTATTGACAACCAGCGGTCCCTTCGTCGTGAAGTTGAACTTGCGTTGTCTTGAGTCCAATATCCTTCGCTGTGAAGTTGAAATTGGTTCTAAAATTGGGAAATTATTTATTGACAACCAGCGGTCCCTTCGTCGTGAAGTTGAACTTGCGTTGTCTGGAGTCCAATATCCTTCGTTGTGAAGTTGAAATTGGCTCTGAAATTGAGAAGTCGTTTGTTGACAACCAGCGGTCCCTTCGTTGTGAAGTTGAACTTGCGTTGTCTGGAGTCCAATATCCTTCGCTGTGAAGTTGAAATTGGCTCTGAAATTGAGAAATTATTTATTGACAACCAGCGGTCCCTTCGTCGTGAAGTTGAACTTGCGTTGTCTGGAGTCCAATATCCTTCGTTGTGAAGTTGAAATTGGCTCTGAAATTGAGAAGTTGTTTGTTGACAACCAGCGGTCCCTTCATTGTGATGTTGAACTTGTGTTGTCTTGAGTGGCACGATATTATCCGTCGTGGATTTGAAATCGTGGTTGTTTGGGTTCAAGCTAGATATCCTTCGTTGTGAAGTTGAAATCTACTCTCGAGCAAATTGTGAGTTCGAGAGAAACTTTCAATCTGTCGAGTTGGTCGAAGTGTAGCTTCTTGCTGCTGAGTTAAGCAACCATCATGAATCTTTAAAGTTGCTTTTGAATCGAGTATCCTTCGTCTTGAAGTCGAAACTTGACTTTAAAAGCTGCAAAAAATTATGTATGTGGAAAATGATAAATATGATGCTCTAAAATGTATTCATAAGATGCATGTAACATGAATTAGTTATATTTTATCTCCTGAAAAAGGTTTGATAATTTGCATTAGGATGTTGAATCCAAAAATGCCCCAATATTTGATGTTGAATCTTCAAAGATGCCCTAAATGTTCCTCATTTCTTGCTTCAGTATTGATTCTGAGCATGAGTTTTGTGTCTAAAAGTCACATGTCATTTACCAAGATCCACTCTAGAGAGACTGTCTTGTTTGAAAAAAATGTTTTTCTTTCTCTTTTATTTTCAAAGTTATGAAAATATCAATTAAAAGAGTTTTGAAAAATGTTTGATTCAAAGTTTTGAAAATATTGTCACTTTCACGGTTTTACAATTGAGACGAATCATAAACTAGAGTTCATCGGATATCAAAGA